AAAAGTGTATACTTCTTGAGTTATTCGGAAATACTTATAAATTATACTACCCTCGTAACTTTTTTTCCAACTTATTTTCGTTATAGTACGATATATAAATAAATTTAAAGGGCGTCGGGGAAAAGACTTCAGCCAAATCTTTCCCGAAGACAGTCTTTAGCGAAGAATTTCCCGAGGACATGACATGCAATTTTACATTTACAAAAATTGTAAAGCTATGCGGAGGTGTAATCTAAGAAGTCATCATCAATATATCAGAATACATATGTTAAAAGACGGAATAAGATTGAGTGTAGGACAAGAATATAGTATGCTTGACTCATATATGTGAGAGTTTGTTTGGAAAAGGATTAAATTTATTCGATAAAATTTAATAGCCAATGAGAAACTTTTGGCCTCCTAAAAATAAATATTTAGAAAAAAAATCAATTGTAAAAGTTAAATTATTTTTTATTAACCTATTGTTTAATAATAGTTTTCAATAAAACATTTAATCTTTTGATATATTAGTTCTAAATAATAACTGTTTGACTCATAAAAGTAACTGTTACTAATAGTATTGTAACAGATCCAAGCAATGGACAAAAAATGAACTGGCGATTAAAGACCCTGTCTCGTATATAAAGATGAAAAGGAAGAATAGGAAAGAGGAATGCGAATATAAATAGCTCTGTTTTGAAGAATATTGTATATACTTCATATTTTTACCACTCTCCCTCCCCTCCATCCACGTGTCGCCCCTGGCTCTATCTTGTGGTGGATAGAGTAACTTTGACAAAGCTAATCCTTTCAGCTCAGAGAAGGTATAAAATGGTTCAGGTAAACGAACGAATAAAAAAAATCCGCTATCTATATTAATAAAAACGTAAATGGCCGTTTGTTCAAAACACCTTATCTCCGACACTTCTTCACAGATCGCTTCGAAATATTGCCATAATGTTTCTATCGCATTCAGGAGTGTTTTTATGTACATTTAATCACTCTACGTTCTTTCGTTTCGGAATGGCGGCCCAAAAACCTGTGTCAATATAAACTGTAGCGCCTAAACGGCTGTAACGATTTTAGTTAAACTTGGCCTAAGCCCTCTCATTGAAGCCCTTTTAATTTATGCATAAAACATCCTTCTACGAAAAGTGTATGAAAAAGAAGTTACGATGGGTTCAAAACTATATTTGCGAAGTACACAATTCTTGATTATACCCACCATTATTTGAAAGTTTTTTTGATTCTCTGCAAATAAAAAAAAATCACTGAAATCGTACGATTTGGTGCAGATAATGCTTTAAACATTTACTAATTTTTCGTGGAAGATTTAGAGACCGATTGCTTCTTATATAGACAATTATATGTTGCAAATTCAAGATTTGGAAACCCACATAATCTCTATATCTATACAAAGAATGGAACAACAAAGAATATCGCATATTCACAAGTATTGTTACATAAAATATATTAGAAACATCCAATTTCTTTTCTACTTTTGTTTTTATTTAACCAGAATGAGCCACGGCAACGCATGGTCGGGTACAGCTAATACACATATAATAATAACACAACACAATTCATCCATGTGTTATATTTTTTATCCATACAATATTATATTTTTTATCCATACAATATTATATTTTTATCTCATCAAATTACCTTTAATCTTCGTCATAAACCACTAGCGGATCCAGGATTTAATTTTGAGGAGGCCTCAGCCCGAAAGCTTTTTTTTTCATAAAAATAACGATATTTACTTTGGAAAAAAAGAAAGAAACTAACTATCTATATGAAATGGTGTTTAAGTGATTCCTTAAGTCCTTTTAAATGTAATTAAACGAACAATAATACTTTAACAGATAATTTCTTAATATTTTTTTCCATATAACGTGGTTTTATTTTACCATTTTGGAGGGGGAGGGTTCAGCCCGAAAGCGCCCCCCCGTAGATCCGCCCGTGTCATAAACCTATGACTTTCTGCCCAATTGTATCCTTTAACAATACTATATTGGAAGTTTAAAAATAATGATCACTCACTGTATGTATACGTTATTAATTTAAACGTTTTATATTTATATATACGTTCTATATAATATTATATTTCTGAAATATCAATAATTATACACGCGGTACCTGCATTATAAATGTATATTTATTTTTTTTTTGTAAGCCAAAATTTCAATGAATTAAATATGTTCTGTCGCTGATATTTGATAACAATATTCTCCATCTACTAATCCAGATTCAAAATATATCATAAAGATTCCAAAAAGTATATATTTCAATACATACTTTTTTTTTTATTCAATTATAATTAACTGTTTATTTATATATATATATATATATATATATATATATATATATATATATATATATATATATATATATATATATATATATATATATATATATATTCAAGTAAATTTTTTTTGTTTTTTTTATGAAATGAACTCATTGTATCTCTTTTTCGTTCTTCAGTTCTCAAAGTGTATGTTTATGTTGTTCAACCCTTATATATAATTTTGTTCATAGTTCAAGTGATTCGTTCATAGTTTTAATTGTTTTGTTCATAATTTTAAATGTTCTGTACATAGTTTTATCTGTATTGTATATAGCTTGTGCACCTAAGGTTTTCTTTAATTTTTTTTTATTTTATCAATTTTAGTTATTGTTTCAAACGTTCAGGCCAGTAATATTCTATTATTTTGTACATTATTGTTATTCTGAAGGGACTTAGTCCCAGAATAAAAATTTTTTTTTATCTATCTATCTATCTATATTTCTGATTGTAAAACAATATTGCATAAGAATTATTATTATTATTTATTGTAAAACTTTTGTTCAAAAATAATGGTCAGGTAAAAAAAATAATGATAAACATCGCTCATAATAAAAATCATCAAATAATTTTTAAAAATTTCAGATTAAAATAAAATCAAACTCTGTTTCCTTCATATTTACTAAAACACATAATCGGGGAGGAGAGGATAAAAAAATAAAATGTAGATTTTGAATGTTGTTTTTCGGTGCAATGGTTCTTTAAAACTTCGGTAGATAACCATTTTTATCATGTGGGTGGTAAACAGTTTTATGGTGAAACCAGTCATCCACCAATTAAGCAATTTTTACGCATTTGCCTCCACACTTTCCAAGGGCGCCATTTTGAAAAGCCCCAACTCTGATATAGCAGACCATTGGAATATGGATATTGTTACGACTTATGACTAAACGTTTTCTTAGTCACAAAATTTCGACTCGGTTTTTGAACTGTCAAACGTGATAATAAATTTTATTTTACTTTCTTCTCAAACGAACCCAAAATATATTCGTGGAATTTACCAAGAATGATCGTACATAACCGCATAATTTCGGCGTGACTTCATCAGCGTTAAGTTCCTGGTACACGCTCTTTATAGTAACGCAGTCGGTCAAGTTCGTTATCTTCTTCTGAGAAGGCGACCACGAGGAAAAAACCTTTCTAAAATCGACTCTCGCACATTTCCTTGCTATTAATGATATCTTAAATCGATTATTTGCTGCTGTATGGCGTTATAGTTATAAAGAATTTCTTAGATAACTTTCCCTCCCCCCTTTAACGTTTCGAATGTTTTTGGAATTTCAGAATGAAATTTAGGGAATTCCGATTGGGTAACCTGAAGTCAGGATCGTACTATTAACTTGGTAACCTAACAGAGTATTCCTAAAGCCAATCTTGAACTCTGGAATTCCCAACGGGGTGGAGTTAATGTCGGGTAGGAAATGAATCTTTAAGAGGAATTCACAGGTACTATTTTAGTGAATACATTTTTATTAAAAATTAATTTTTGTATTTAGATTTGTTTATTAATCAAATTTATTTATTATTGAATTATTAGGGTTAAAATTTCGATTTTGATCAGGGAGGGCGGACAACACACGGGAATGAGTTTGGCAATGTTTGATTTTATCCAGAAAGTATTTCGTGACATAAATTTTCACAGCTTTGACATAAAATAAATTCACAGCTGAAGTCAGCACTTCACAACTTGTATATATATCAGCCCTTCGGAGCATATGGCACCAGTTAGCAGAGAGATACCCCACCGGTTAACAGTGATACCCTCCAGTAACATTATTGTGTCTCTATTTAATAACCTAGTGCATTTAAGAACGAATATATTGTAAATTGTAATCTTTCATACCAATAAAGTTTTTTTTGGGATTAGTGACGCGAGAATATTTATTTATGGTACAGCTCTGCCGCGAAATTTCGCGGCGGAAAGCCGTTAAGAAATATTTTACAAAATCAATATAATAAATAATTGGAATTTTCATAGTAAATAATATATAAAATCATAACATTGTACACTTATCGCCGGTTGCATCGACCGTTGTTAACTTAAATTTTACGAACAGTGTTAATACGAATTAGTTAATAACCGAAGGGGTTTCATGAGGCAAGTTGCTTATTCAAAATTTTTGAGGGAGGCATATTTTGCGTGAGCTAAGTAGTTATGTCACAGAAAAATAAGAAGCATTTCCCGCCTTCAGCCTAACCTTAATCTCCTCTTCAATTCCGCGTTTTCTAGTTATCGCAGACCCTAGATACTTAACTTCTCTACTTGTTCAAACAAGTTACCTACTATATCAATATCACCAGCGATATTTTTGCAGCTAACCATATAACACGTGACAGTTTTGTCTTATCCGTGTTTATTTTGAGAGCTAGTTTTTTACCGGCTTTCATTAACATTGCTGTATCTTAATAGTTTAATAGTTTCCGTATCTTCGCTTAAAGAACCAGATCATCCCCATAAGCACGGGTGTTGTTCCATCCAGATCCAACCCTTTTTCTAATGCATCACCTTCCTAATGGCATTTTGTAATGAGCTATTATTTATAATTTATATTTCATATTATTAATCTCGCCTTGTTGGTGTTTTCCCTTCTATCGTGTGGTATAAAGCACACATCTTAGTTTTGTTTATTTTAATATTAAGATTAAGGTATATATTTATAATTAATAAACCACTCACTTGATGGGAATGTTCTGTGCTATTTCAGGGAAGGCCAACTTGACAGCGATTTTGAGAAGAATCATCAAATTGAAGTCTGTCGCTATTTTGCCGATCCTGGTGACTTCGCTGTCGCAGTTCGTGTCGGCTTCCAGGCCGAAGAGTGTCTTGCAGGTGAGATCCGTCGTGAAGGAGGCCAGGGCCTGCTTCATATTTATCGTATCGCCTTCCTTCTCCAGGAGGGCCGACATCAAGTTCTGGAAAAGGAACACTGTATCAAAAATATGATCCATGTTTTGTTTAGGTTTAAGAAATTTCATACTGAAAATAAACTCACAGTTTTGGAGTAGTATATAGAATTTGTTAATTTACCTAAAAAGATGCTTTCCTTAACTTAATGAAAGAAGTTAAAAATACAACTTTATAATAACAAATCAATATGATATATTATAGTCCGTGTAACCGGCCTCTTTTTATCAAACTTCGTAAATAGCTTCATCTCATCGTAGCCTGCAACCAGTGTTGCCCAAATGGGAGATTGAGACGAGTCTTGGTCTTGCAAACTCAGTATTGGTCATGGTCTTGGTCTTGCGCAAGAGTCTCGCAGTTACTTATTAGCTTATTGCTATAGTGATATTACTGTATTTTTTTAAGATACTAGAAATCTAACTAAGCCCGAATGAAAAATTAGAGAAGTTAAATGCAAAAGTGTATTGGTTATACAAATTATTAACATACAATAACTAAGATTCTCAAGTATTAGTAACTATTTTACCTTAATTTTTATTTAAAATATCCATTTTTTTAATCAGTCCTGGTCTTGGTCTCACAAAGTGCAAGATAAAGACCGATTTTGGGCAACACTACCTGCATCTATTTTATTTACGAAAATTATCGGAATTGTGTCGATTTCAATCTAAAGATTGACAAACTTTTTCTATTTAATTAGGTACTAAAAACTCGTAAATACCCATTTGCTTTCCACTTCAACCTTATGATAATATGATAACAAAGTCGAAAAAAAACGAGACACCAAAATAGTGTTCGCTTTGGCGTGACTTCCACCCCCAAAATGTCAAAATAACGAATTTATAAAGGCTAAATGGCCCAATATTTTTGTAGGCCACCTTTTATATTGATTTTGTGATCAAATTATCTTACGATCTAAGTTGGAAAGCTTTTTGTACCGGATTAAACAGAGAAAGTTTGCCGATCTCCAGATTGAAAACGCACCAATTCGAAGAGTTTTCGTAAATAAAATAGTTGTAAGTTACGATGAGATGAAGATATTCACGAAGTTTCAGACGGAAGTTAATAATTTGATAAAAAGGGATCTGTACCACGGACTATTAGTAATTATTGTTGATTCTATGTTGAATAAGCATTATTTATTTATTTCTTCTGTTTATTTATCTCATTATTTCTAGAATTGGTGTCTTGAGGTTTTATTAGTTACATAAAATAGGACATTATTCATAACATTTTATTTATTAGCTATTTTACTACTATTCTTCGAACCATCACTAGGGCCATTTTCAAGTCTTATTGAGTCCTCCATTAGATTATACATTATTAATGTCTTATTAATTTTTTAAGAGTTCGTAATTTCAGTCCCTGCAGAAATGACATAGGAGAAACTCTTAATACTTAATACGAACTCTTAAAAAATTAATACGACATTAATAATGAATATCTAATGAGGTATCAATAAGACTTGAAAATGGCCATAGTGATGGTCGAAACGTCGTAATAAAATAGCTAATAAATAAAATGTTGGTGAATAATGGTCTAATTTATATAACTAATTATTTAGCATCGAATCATTGATTCTTTATGTTAGTTTTTTTTAACATATGTTAGTTTTTAAACTGTTATTTTTACATATTGTGGCGTTTCAAAATATTCTCTCATAACGAAAATTATACACATTAGAATGATGTAACTACTGTATCAATGACCTTTTTAATTAAGAGTGTATTGTTAAAACTTTTTTTTAGAAAGTTGAATGAAGTGAACATTAGTGGACGTAATGTCAATAAAAAAACTATTGAAGAGAAGTAAAAATATCATACAAAAACGAAATATGAACGAATAAACTGCCTCATAAATAAATTAAAAGACCTTTATCATAAGTTATCAATTTTCTGTTCAAAATTTAAAAATAAACACGTGACAGTTAACCAATGAAAGAGTAGATTCATTGTTTAAAGACTTCAGGGAAGCGAGGAACAAACGAACTGAGAATATCAGCCCTCTCCCATAATTAGAAGTAAAAAAACAATAATAACAAATGATTAACGTGCATGGAGATTTTTCGTATCTTAAGAACTTAATACCGCGTAATTGTGGATGTCATAGTTTTATTGTTAATATCGTATAAATATATTTTATTGAGAATATTTTTACGTAAAAAAACTAGTTTTGTTTTTGAGATTATATTAACTGATGAATCATCAATATTATTCAATTTTAATCATTATTTATTTTTAGCTAAACGCTAGAAATGTATCTATGTCATGGAGATATGAATAAAAAAAAAAAAATATCGACAACTATATATAAATGTAAACGTAGATTTGGAAGGAGTGACGTCATACCAGCTTCAACCGTCAAACATATTGTTCTTATCAGTAAGTATGATATCGCGACTATGAAAATTAATATCTTTTGAACAGTTGATTGCAGAAAATTCTAGTTTTCATAGAAATAGTTATTAATACATGCTAGATAATAAAAATTAAAAAACAAAATAAAAAAAAAAACAGAGACATCTTAGTTTATAAAATTACTTTATGTGAGTTTTTGTGAGAATACGTGAAAAAGTGCATGCTGCTAAAATTATTATCAGTTATTCAAGCTACTGTGTTATCTTTGGTCTGCATTTATAACATCTTATATATTTAATTCAGTGTGATAAGAAATGTTGACTTCTTAATTATTTACTCCAACTTGAGAAATTCAAGACGTTGTATTGGAATATTAAAATAATTGTCATACAGGTTTATACTATAGGTATATTTATTTTTATTTTTTTAAATTACAACTTAAGTAAAATATTTAAAGATTTTAACTCATTCATTAAAAATTGATGAATAATAACTGAAAACAACTATACCTTGGGATAAAATGGTATATTTTTGTAGACAGGAGCAGTAACCATTTTCTCACTGATTCATGCCAAAAATTAAGTGAAATGAATTTTACAGTACCTCCGTACACTTTACGAAAAGTGGGAACATGGTCCTCAATTTCGAACTGGAAAAGGTTGATTGCATTTTCCCTCTGGTAGTCTTCCATTTATCATCTCCGAGGTTGAACAGGTGTTGGAAGATGAAGTCGTTCTGGTGTCTGCAAATATAAAGATGAAGAAATTCAATAATAATACATAGTGAATACAAATACATATTATAACAAGTTTATCAATTACGTTTGTGATATTGAACAGAGAAAGACTTTTGAATCGTGGTGCAATAAGTCATTAACTATGGGTATAAAATACGTTTATGTGAGTAATTTGATATTTTAATAGCGGTGTAACAACCGCTCCAAAAATATCTTTTTTTAATTTATTAAAAAACTACTTATTGTTTCGAAAATTTCAAATTAAGATCCATTATTATCAAAGACGAATTTTTTTTAATTTTTATTATTTATTTAATGAAATTTACAACCGTATTCAAATACAACCCATAAATACGCACACATTAGAAATAATGACATGAACAGACTTGAAGAGATACTACCCAGTGGTAGCACTCCCTATTTAATTCTAGGTACGAAGATCATGAGCCCATCTTCTTTTCATACGCCTAGGAGGATTATCAGGAATCGAGGAAGAAGCATGTCTGGAAACAAGTCATATGGAACATGTCAGCGGCATATGGAACATTAAGGATTTTGGATTGTAAGGATTGGATACGATAGGAATTCGATGGTTTGGTGGAGCCCCAAAGCTCAACTCCGTATGTCCATACAGGTGTTATTATGGTTAAGTAGAAAAGTCTGTTGTAATTCACTGACAGTTCGGAGCGTTTGTCTAGTAAGTGTTGGAGCAGTCGTTAACGTCGAGCAGTTTCTTGTGGTTTCAGTCTAGTATGCGGATTCCAAGTGAGACGTTTATCCAAGTGGAGTCCTAGGTAGCGGATTTGTTCAATAAATACAAGTGGAATATAATTGAAGGATATTGTAGGACAAGAAGCTGTAGGTTTACGACGGAGAGTAAAGGTAATTTGATGGGATTTATTGGAATTTGTTTTTATTCTCCAGTTATAACGTCATTCTTCAAGGTTTGTGATCTGTGATTGGATGATTTAGGATGCAATTAAAGGGTCGTTATTAACATATTGGATACAAGTGTCATCGGCATTGGTGGTGATGACCGTGTTAGAATGGGTTGGGATATCAGCTGCATAAACTGTATAAAGGAATAGGACCAGAATGCTCCCTTGAGGAACACCAGCGGACTGGGAAAAGAGGTACGAACACCTGTTCAACGTCGATAATGTCTCCCGAACAGTAAATTTTGCGCTCCAATGCAGCGCACGATATTAAAATCTATAGCAATATCATGACTGCACCTCCAATAACGAATACAATTTTATAATATCGAATATCAATATAAAAAAAAACAAATTTAAAAGGCAATATTTTCTAAGGCGTGAAATAGTGCACACAGTGAACTAATTATAATAAATAATTGTATTTTACTAAAACATCTGATATTATTCAATCTTGATATATTTTCATGGTTATAATATTATTGTAGATTTGCTAATGTAATAATAAAGAAGGCAAATATTTTTTCAGATCGCTTCTAGCCAAGATTATATAAATAAAAATCTATAAAATATATAAATAAGTAAGATAAAATAATATAAAAATACAAACATTTTAAGAAATTGCCTGTTCCTGAAATGAGAGAACTCCTTGGTCAAAATTATGCTGATGATTTCTGGGTTCTTGATGACCAAGAAAGGGCTCCTTATCAAGTAAATTCCGAAATAGGGGGAAGAGAACTTCTGGTACATCTGAAATTTTACCAATTATTATTAACCTAGATTATATAGTTAATATTAATAAATATAAAATACAATTTTATAAAATTATATTAATATATATATATAAAGTTGGTGATTAATATTATTTATTAAGATTTTTTAATAAGGCGGTTATTGATGATAACTCAGGATGAAATGATAAAAAAAAACCTGTTTTAACACATATTTGTCTGGTAACTTTTTGCACATTAATTTACAAAATCGCTTTATCTCCGTTTGGTAAAAATTTGAATTTAATTTCTTTAGAGTTAACAGAAGAAGAATCAATTAAATTTAGGTAAGAAATTAAGAAAAGTATCCATTATAAAATGGAGTTAATATACAATACTATCAAAGAAAACAGCTCATGTCGTCGGCTTATTGCTTAAAGTCACTAAGTAATACATTTTTGAAGAACTTTTTTTGTTGATTTCGATCTAATTTATTGATAAAAAACAACGTAAGAGCATTAAAATAACCCAAACGGTTTATATATATATATATAATACAGTAGAATAGAATAGAAGAATCAACTTTATTCTGGGACAAAGTCCCTTAAGAATAACAATTTTGTACATAACAATTAACATACCATCTGGACAAAATACATATTACAATAAAAAAAAACAAAAAACTAAGTAATAACGGAAGTATTTACATAACTATAAAGCAAGATTAAAGAAGTAATATGAGAAATATGGTCACAATACTGTAAAATAGTTGCTATAAACTATGGAATACTAAATGAAATTTGAAATGAACGATAAATCACTACTGTTTTCATATCATTGAATTAATGAGAAAAATAATAATAAAAGAGCAGATAAATATTTACTATAAATGATTTACATCTGTACCTTAATGTGTTCTAATGAATACAATAATAGTATTGTAAACATTACAAAAGTGTTATATAATCTATATCCTAAGCTGTAGATTAATCGGAGAAAATAAAAGATGATACACATATAGAGGAGTGCATTCAATATTAGTAATCAATTAAATATATATATATCCATGTATATCGAATATAATTACAACTAGCGTAGAATTTTCTGATTTCATAACTAGAAAATTCATCAATGTTTTAAGTGATGTAAGGTTATGAAAAGTCACTTAATGATTTTATTAAGCCGCCGATGTATTTATTAAATGTCGATATTTTTTATATCGATATTATACTAATGTCGATATCGAATATCGATAAGGAATATCAGAATTTGTCCGATATCGCAACAGCACTGACAAGTAATTATTAAGGTTCTTATAGACCATTTTCGAAACTATTCCGAACTTGTAAATACTACGACCATCATCAGCGAAGCGACAACCCACTCATGTATGAGTCACAGCATCCCCCGGAGTTATCGCCATTTCTCCTCCAATTCTGGGCATCCACAATCCGAACTCCAAGAAGATTTCGCGCATCACTTGCGACTCCGTCTCCCACACCTCAGTTCCGGTCTTCCAATGATACTCCATGAAAATGACCTAACACGTTTTAAGGAATGCCCAGCTGAGTCATCCAAGCAATATGCCCGGCCGTCTAAGCCACCTTACACGGATGACTCAGTTCAGATGACCAGAGACATTCGTAAAGGGAGAAGGCGGGGAAGAGGGGGGGGGGAGAAGGTTCTTGATTAAAAATTTGGTTCATTAAGTCCAAACTTGTACATATTTGTTGTTACAATAACTAATTTTACATAATGATAATATGGTGTAAATGTTTATCAGGTGACATAGTATGCAGCTGAAAATTATTATTTTATTTTATTGAAATTTACAACTGTATTACATGGAAAATCCAACAAGTAAATGTGACATTGGTAACATGACATGTACAACATGAAGAGAAACTACCCATTGGTAGAACCCAAATTAAAGTTCTATATTAGAAGGTCCCGAGGCCATCTTCTTTTCAGACGCCTCGGAGGGTTATCAGGGATCGAGGAGGAAACAAGGTTTGAAACGAGAGGATTCGGATGGTTCTGCAGTTTGTTATGGAAAGATAGGTATCTGGATTGGGCCAAATCGGAAACATATGGAGCATTAAGGTCTATATGGATAATTTTCTTCGTGACAAAGTATGGAGCGTTGAGGATTTTACGAAGGATTTTGGATTGTAAGGATTGGATACGAGAGGAATTCGATGGTTTAGTAGTGCCCCAAAGCTCAATTCCGTAAGTCCAAATAGTTCTTATTATTGTCATATATATGAGCCGTTTGTAATTGATTGAAAGCTGAGATCGTTTGTCTAGTAAGTGCTGCAGTAGTCGAAAACGTCGAGAACATTTCAATTTTCTATCTAACTATTCTATTAGCAATATCTTAATTTTAATATTTATTTAAATTTCTTATATAACTTCATATTTTTTTGTTTTACATTTTATTCTAAGATTCCCATTTCAATACTTATGTCACCTTTTTGATTATGTTCATTTCATCATTCCAAACTTTGTACCGGTTATTATTATTTATCTCTTAGTTCTTACTATTGTCATTATTCTAACAACTGCATTTTCTTTAATTTTTATGTTCCTCATACCTTGTTATCTGGTTCTTTTCTTAGCCCTGATGATGGCCTGAACTTCAGGTCGAAACGTCGGCAAATGTCAAAATAAATATTATCATTTATTTTTGCCTTCTTATTTGACTGATCACCCAAACTATTCTTCTCTTCTTCATTCTTTATTATTTCTTTTGTTCTTGCCTTTTGAACTATACTGAGTTTTTCCGGGCAGGGGACAGAGTGGCGGATTAACGCCCAAGTTAAGAGCCCTACTGGCACCAGAACGCGAACTCGTAATTATTTTATCACATAATCTTAGGTTTACATGGTTGCCAGGCAACGCCTTCTTTGCACAAGCGCCTTCTTAGCCTGCTCGACAACTCCGCCTCCATTTTACTTTCCTGCCTATACTAGGTAAAGATCTATAAGTTTCAGAGCCCTATGAATAAAATTTATAATAAAAATTTTGAAAGGCTGATTACCGTTTAGCCTGTTTTTTTTTTAAATTAATAAAATTCCCTACAAAACTATATAAAAATCGTTCATTTGGGACAACTATTAACGAAGTTACAGCTATTCAATTTCCAATGTAAGATTACGGCTTCATATCCTGATATCAGAAAGGGATGAATGAGAGAAAAAAAATGACTAAGTGAAAGTAAGATGATCTGTTGCCCGCATCACACAAGCTTCACTATTTTCGGTTCTTTTAACAGGTATTATTGAGTGACAATACTAAGCTATGGCAAAAAGATTTTGATCAGTAATATTAGAGGGTATTGAAATGTTTACACTGATCAACCTTAAGCCGGTTTACATTGATTTAGTTTATCAAATAAATCGTACTTAAATCTTGATCAATTTTCAGAAAAGATATAAAAACTTTTCTGAAAGAGGTAGGAAAGTCGTGTGAGTGGACACACCAGATTTTTTAATTACACTTTCGCTTGTATCATTTTTAAGAAGAGAGCAATAAAATTTCTTGAGAGGAGGAGAGGGGTTAGGCCATTAACTTGGAGATATAGGCACCCCTCAATAAAGGAATAGAAGTTAGATAGGTTTTAAAATCATCCGACAAAACTTCCTTAAATTATTATTATTATTTAAATCGATTCCATTCACAAAAAGGCGACCTCCATTGAGGCCGAACGAGGAAAGTGTAATATTCAATGGCAATCTATTCTTCTCGGAACTGTTGCATCAGACTCCACCATTTTCCTCCTCTCATTATTGAATACAATTTATCTTGATCATATCGACTACGTAGTATAACTTTACTAATCAAGAGATATCAGCAGAGAAAATAATACCGCAACTCTGCTAAAGCCGCTTCACACGGTCAAGTTTCTGGAATAAAGTCGGAATTATAGTTAACATATTTTTCCGCTAGGCGTTCCAGGAATACCTTCAAATTGTAACCATACTAAGAAGGTTACTACCTTATCTTGCAACGCGAGTTGTTGTGATATCGGGTAAGTTCCATTATTCATTATCGGTAGAGATATTAGATTGATAGATAAATAAATAACTTTATTCTGGGATAAAGTTCCTTAAGAATAACAAAATGTTACAGAACAGTGGAATACTTCTGGCATAAAGAACAAAAATAAAATATCTTATGAAACTAACAAATATACAAAAAAAAAAAATAACAAGCTGATGAAACTATATACAAAATGTCTAGAACTATTTGCAATATAAATAAGAAATAAAAGATTATCTAGTTGTAAATCTCATGAATAAATAAAATAAAAATTTCTTTAGAGTTAAAAGGACAAGAATCATTTAATTGAATTTTAGGTAAGAAATTAACAAAAGTATCCATTATAAAATGGAGTTAATATAAAATACTATCAAAGAAAACAGCTCATGTCGTCGGCTTATTGCTGAAAGTCACGTTGCTAAGTAGTCCATTTTTGAAGAACTTTTTTTGTTTATTTCAATCTAATTTATTGATAAAAACAACGTAAGAACATTAAAATGACACAAACGGTTTATATATATAATAGAGCAGAATAGAACAGAAGAATCACCTTTATTCTGGAATAAAGTTCCTTAAGAATAACAATTTTGTACATAAAAATTAACATACCATCTGGACAAAATACATATTACAATAAAAAAATTACTAAAAACTAAGTAATAACAGAAGTATTTACATAACTATAAAGAAATATTAAACTATAATCACTGTTTAACTAAAAAATTAATAAAAAAGAAATAAAACAGATAGGAACAAAAGCAATAAATAAAAAATAATTCATTTAGTAAATGAGCACCAAGTAAAAATTACTAACATGAAGTAAAATACAAAGAAATAAAACATTTATAACAAAAATATTAAGAAAATAAATAAATTAAACAACTTTAAGAGCACATTAATCTTGTAGATTAGCAATCACACGGTATACAAAATATATGTACAAGTTCATAAGTATACGTAAGAACATACACGAGTACTTGAAAAGTAATGAAGATATAT